GGGGCGGGGCGTATGCTAATGAGACGCTGCAGCCTCCCTCTCGCCTGCGCCGCGCGCCTCGGGAACCAGCGGCGCGCGGCCAATCGGCGCTGCTAAGCCGAGATGGCGCTATGGCGCGCCAGCCAATGGCAGAGCGCGCGGGGCGGGGCCGGGCGCGCTGAGGAGCCCTAGTGCGATGTGACGACAGCGAAGGAGGGGGGGGTTGTGGAAACTAGCGTGTTGCGCATGCGCACTATGGAGCGAGGGAGGATGGACAGAAAGTAGAGGTGTCCAGGTGCAGGAGGGAGAGGAGCTGGGCATCCCTGGGGACCTTGCACCTCCTGTTTCCTCTGCCAGCCCAGGGCAAAAGGAGAAGGCATTAGGCAGGGCAGCAGAGGGCTGAGGGGAGGCCCAGGTAGTTTAGGGTGGGAGGATGCAGCTGCAAATAATAGCCACATTTATGATGCTAGTTGTCCAGAGCATCTTCAAGACAGCAGGGCACGGGCCAGGCTTGCTGTGGTCCATAGTTGTGTTCTCATAGTCAACCATCTTGCTCAAGCTTTTGGGCGGTGGGTCAACCCCTGGGGTATGCAGGTTCAAAAGCGGAGCAGTGGGGCTTGTACCCATCCTGGTAACAAAATCAAGTGCAAACAGTTGCACTGAGGCAAGAAGGCTTGTCGGCTGCCAGGAGGATCCCGGAAGGAGCCTACCCATTCTCTGCAGGCGCACTCCTCTCGTTTTTTGCTCTCTCCTTGCTCGCTTCACGTTTCCTTTCCCCTGTCCCTCAGCTGGATCTAATGCTTGTGACCCCTGGGAGCTGACCCTTGTCTCCCAATCCAGTTTCCAGACCAGACTACAATCGAGAGATGCCATGTCCTGCTGAAAAAAGAAAACCTCTTTCCAAGTTAAACTAACCAATTACCATCTAGCGCAGGGGTGGGCAAATATTTGGGCTGGTGGGCCATTGAATGAGGTTTGGCGAGCTGTCGAGGGCCATGCGCACAAAATCTTTCAGAAGATACGTTTTTAACAAATTATAGACAAGAATCCTGTACTAAAAATCAAACATCTACTATAGCATTTTAATTCTATTTTTAAAATACATTTTTGGCCTCTATGTTCTTTTGAGTAGTGTATATATAGGTGATTGCATGATAGCTCAAAATAAAGTCTTACCCTTGTATATATATTGTGCGTGGGGCAAACAACAAAGGACAGAAATGGGGCTAAAAGAGCTCCCGGTCCAGAAAGGGACAGAGATTGGGGCCACAGCCCAGGAAGGGCAGAGGTAAGAGCCCAAGCAGGCAGGACAGGGGCCGGAGCCCGAGAAGCCAGGACTGGTGCAGTGTGTCTAGACCACAAGGGACCAGCAAGAGCAGTGGATATGGAGGCTGAGACCCCAACAAGGGACTAGAGGTCTAAGGTGGCTTAGTGATGTGGGACAAGGTGTCCACCTAAGTGCTGACTGAAAATACCTGTGATGCATGGGCATAGCTGTAGGCGAGGTTTGGAGACTGTGATTAGCCCATAAGGCAACAAGCACCCGTGGGAGACACGTGGGCCAAGAGGGC